CTTTTCGCCTTTATTCGATAGGAGAGTAGATTGAGTAGGGAAATTGTTTGCAGTGAGTGGTGATTGGGAAGAAGGTACACAGTAGCCACAGATCGGATTTTTACCTTGGTTGTCAGCTTGGAGGGCTACTGCCACTGTACATTGGATGCGATCTAACTGCTAGGCCACCTGAGTCCCTATTACCCTATCAATGTGATGTGTACTTAGACACATTTACAATATCAACAAAAGAGCGGAGAAGAACATACTGAGGAACAGAAAAACATAATGAAGCATTTTTATTACATGCTTGGAGATCCCACTGGTCGCGTACATGCTGTCATGCAACGGTCCCAGGATAAAAACATCACCACCCTCTCTTGCTTGCTCTTTGTGAATTTTTCCTGCATATATACATATATATATATACACCTGCATACTCACATCAGCTCACCCCGACTTCACATGGAAAATTCACAAAGTGGCTATTAGGGAAAATTGCGGGTAAGGTAACGGTGAAAAATCTGTCTGGTTGCGTTCACACATGCCGCTCACCCCTGAAAAATCTCAGGAAGTTTTCAAGAGTTTTATGCATGTGTGAAAGCACCAAAACACAGATATAATTTACAGATACTCCCCTTGCTAGAAAAGGATCAAGCATTGCTTAAAAGGGTTATGTAAATGGTTAATTGAATGGAATACACTTTCTTATTCATTTTTCTTGTCTTCTGAACCCTCAAAGAACTTTACAGTTCATGCTATTCACCACCTTATTCATACATTCATACTGTGTCTTAAATGCCCAGTTTGAGGTATCTTGCCCAAGGATACTTTGACATGTGAAGTGAAGGAGCAAAGAGAATTAACCCTGATGATCCTCCAATTAGTGGATGGCCTACTTGTAACACTTGAGCCTCAGTTGCTTTGAGAATGGCTTTTTTTTTGTAAATAGAATACATTTAGATTTGAGAGATGAAGGAGTGCTCTTTTAAAATCATTAATTTCCTCAACTTGACAAAGTTAAATTAATTTAATTTGAAAAAGAAAAAAAAACTCCATAAAAGCTTTTCCAGTGGAAGGTATGGGATGACTGTTTCAACTTTTCATAAACTCACAAATCACAAATTAAATTATTTTTCCTATTCCTACACTTTAAATGGTGCAGGCTAAATCTTGATGAGTCTGGTGAGTGTTTCAAAAAAGATTCATTGTCTGGTTCATTGAAATAGTTATTTAAGAAGTATCTGCCCTCAACAAACCTTTCTATTTGAACCTTAAGAAACACCCAGTGGCAGCACAGTGGTGTTGGGCTGTCAGGCTGCATGCATGAATTATGGATGTACTATAAGTATGTGCGTGCGTGCGTGCGTGCGTGCGTGCGTGCGTGCGTGCGTGCGTGCATGCGTATTTGAAGAAAAAAGCAAAGAGTTTTGTATCAGTTTATGTGGAAAAAGAATCAGAGGGGGTAGCTGGTCTTTTTAACCCAGCAAGGTTGTCACCAAAAGGTCCTCATTACCCCACTTCTATCCAACCAGCTGCTTCTCCACACATTCGGCTTCGGGGAATAAAGACAGCATGAGGGCTTTGATACAGAGCTGGAGGGATGCTGCGAAGGGGGTAGAACTCTGGGAGTCAAAGCACATTCACACCTTTAATACACACATGCATTAACATTACCACAGTGCTGCAGGTTGGGCTTGGGCTGCTGCTGCTGACTGTTCATTGTACCCACTCACCAGCTGAGTTGGATCACTGATGGGGTCAGTTTTACTTAAACCGCTCAGAGATAGAGGATGAGTCAGATTCCAAGTCATTACATTACAGAGCCGTCATCAGATAATCACAGGGCACTTGTTTTACATTCTCAAAATGAATCAGGGCTTTTACTAAGAACTGATTTGATCAAAATAAAATGGTTGGTGTGTGTGTGTGTGTGTGTGTGTGTGTGTGTGTGTGTGTGTGTGTGTCCTGCATGTATGACCTTGCAGGATTGGACAAAATAAAAAAAATGCTGATGATATAAATACTAAATATCTTTTAGATTTATGGCCACCCATGTCCTTAGAGCAGCTTCAATTGTAAGAATGTGAATACATAGGATTTGACAAGAACTCTTTTTTATTAAGGATCTTGTAATAAGTGGTTTTTACAAAGATAAAGAAATGAAGTTTTTCCCTGAAGGAAGGGAATACTGTGCACTCCAACTGATTGGAATCAAGAACTGGAAAGAAATGGGGTAGGGAATGCACCGATCAATACAGGCTAAATGTCTGCTTTGGCAGATGAAGACCTTTAGAAACCCACTAACATGTAATATCCTTACATTGAGATTAGTCGGGTTTATGGTTGTTTGTTATTTATTACTCATTTATAAATTTCTATCGGGTTCGGTTTACTCGAGTGTCATGTTGTTTAAGCATGGCTTTAGAAATGGCAGACAATATTGTGTCACTAACACAAACGTCTTCTGATGAAGAAGGGAATCAACTCCCAAAGTTTGAAATTGTTTTTGTGGATTTGCTGATTAAAGCCATGACTTTATCCCGCTGTTCACAAAAACCCTCTTGAGGTTTTTATGCTGTTATATTAGGCACCATTATCGTCTTGAATTATGGGAACCCTAGGGTGCTTCTGATTTCCTGGAATGGCCTCACACTCACTTATTGCATTGCATGGTTATTGTACTCCCCTGCAGCGCAATCATCAGACCTAATGACTCCTGGTAGACCGCTTGCTGCACCAGCTCAGATTTGTCCATGAAGTTGACAGCTGGTCGCAGATTATGGCTCTTCCACCAAATTTAAATCCATCTGATGAGAGGAGAGGCTGGAATAGTCATCAGATCGGTGACTTTTCTATCCAGGTTGTTCAATAGTACAAAACTCTTAGAGACATAGATTTAGTTTAACTTATGAATGAAAGAACTGTTGTGAGCTTGTAATAGAAACTTGCCATTTTACTGTTGGAAAGTTCAACTTTAAAGAGTGAATAAGTGCTGAATTTACACAAAGACATGAAAATTATAAGAGAAAGTTGTTTCTCTCATAATAATATTGTCAAAACTGATTGAGGAAAGGTATCCTGGCTGTTACTCCCAGGTATACTGGTAAAATCCCAACTGAGGATAGATAGATAGATAGATAGATAGATACTTTTCCTCATGGTAATTCAAAGCATCCAGTAACATCTTACAAGACACAAATGACATGAAACATTTGTTATTTCAAACAAATATTTGAAAAACTATACTGAAAGGAAGAATGTGTAACTTTTTTGAGCACAAGTATCAAACCAAAACAAACTCCGCCGCACCTCCTTCAGCCCCCTCCATCCCCCCTCCACTCACGTTTAGCGAAAGTGGCTGACAAAATTGTCCTTGCTTCAAGCTGCAAATGCTGTGGCCTGCATTGTTGTGTTAGCGGGCTAATGTAAGGACACTTAAGTTAGCTTGTGGCTTCATTATAAATGGGCACGGAGCCAGACATCCCGTCCATGTAAACCCGACTTTGACAACAACACAGCCAGTGGGACTCTCGCTTCTCACTCATTATATACAGTCATGACTCAGAGAGATATACTTGATGTGTAAAATGTTGCACATTCTTCCTTAATTTTTTTTATTTTACTCAAACTTTAGCTACCTCAAGCATGTTTTACTTGCTGTTTTAAGGAGCTACAGTGGCAGGAGAGCCATCAAGCTAATAATTATGTAACATGGATTAAGGTCACTCAGCAGATTGAAGAAATAGCTCCTAGCCAGAAGCAGACAGGCTCTGACCGTGTCAGACGGTGTGTGTCTGAGTTTGTGTTCAGATCAGCCTTTGAGTGAACTCATCACTCACTGGAGACTATGGTTCATTCTGTTATTTCCCTGCAGCCTCTCTTCATTTCCTCTTCTCCTCTATGTATTTTCATGAAGTAGGGTAGGCGAAAATTTCCACTTCAGCTAGCAGTCAACACAGACGAGGAGAGACTAATTACATTATAACAACCGACAGTGGAGGTTGGCACCTCTGTGGCTCACTTTTGCAGATGGGTTGGAAGTGAGATTTAACATACATCCACTTTTTAATCCCAAAAGTTTGAAAAGTGAACTCTACTCTGGTCGGTAAATGGCTCCAGGTTAGAGCAGAATCCCTGTTGGCTCTGAGTATTTATTCCTCCAGAAACTCTGCCCCCCACTATATCTACCAAAGCTCCTCTGCGCGCAGCAGCTGTCTGTTGGTCAGCAGCTGCACTGTCTGTCTTCTTCCCCCGGTCCTACATACACAACTCCCTGCAAAGAATCCAAAACATGCAGTTCAACATTTGGCATTACTTGTTTTATAGACTCGGTATAGACTGTTTTGGTAAAAATGTTTTTGTTTCTGTAGAGGTTGAAAGAAGTTTGCTTAAAATGTGGTAAATTGGTACACAGACATAAAGGATTGGAGATGCATTTTACTTCTTCTTCAGGGTTCACAGTTGCAGGGGCATGTCCAGATGGGTGGCCAGGTGTGGCATGGGCCCCCATAGAAATCTGATTGGCCACCCCAGATGCCATGCCATCTCAAAAATCCTTAACTGTGATTGTCTAGTTGCCCTGTCAGAAGTGGGACTCATGTTAAAACCAACTATTGGGTATCTTTTTTTGGAAAGGCTGCTGGTAGTTTTCTTTACATATCACTGTCTATTTCACAAGACAGGTGCTAAGGAAAGTAATGCACGCTGCCTTACTTGCAATAAACGAACCAGCAAGTTAGACTGTGCAGGAGTTTTCCAGCAAATGTTTAAGTATTTTAAATTCTGACTTTAACATACATCTTTTTGTGTCATTAAAACATTAAGATAATGTATCCACTCGTATCCATTAATAGTTTGAAAATGATGCATATTTGTTGTTTTCTCCTCTCAGTACTCAAGGTGGTCATATATAAACCCAATCAACAGTGTAGTACTCATCTCTTCTGTACTTTGTAAAACATTTAGAACAGTGTAACTTGTGTGCCCTCCATGCTGAATCCTCCTCTCTTCTTGCTCAGGCTCCCCGGGCCTGCAGCTGCAGTTCAGAGTAGATGAGGGTTTCCTGAGGCCGGGAGAGAAGCGCTGGTTTCTGCGTTACCTGGCCCTCCACACCATGCACATCGACATCTGGGACAGCAACTCACTGCTTCTCATAGGCTCTACTGCCATCGAGCTCAAGGTAAATAAAAACAACTAAGGTTTCTTTCATTACAAGACCTTCCCAAGATGAATATCAGAAAAACACCACCAACAGAAAAAAAAAAAACTGATTCTGTTTACGAACGCAATTCTTGACATTCCTTCATCCAAATACGGTGCATCTGGCTGACAGTGTAAGCGACACATTGCAGGGAAAATTTGTTCTTATAACTCAAATATGAGTATCAAATATATAATAATCTTATAATGTCAAATAAAATATCTCTTTACTTATTTGTCAAGTTTTCTGAAAATGAAAAGCTGTAGTTACAGTAGTTATAAATGATTTTTCTTTGTATCAGCTGGAGCAAAAAAAGCACAGCTTATCTTTCTTTCAATAGTATAATACATGCAAACAGCAGTTTGAGTTGAGATGAGTTAAATGTGTCAAAAAAGTTAATGAGTGTTGCTCAATTTGTTTTGATCAAACCTGGATGAGTAAATGTTTCCCCTGGTATACTCGGTGTTCAAGAATGTCACCAATGTTCTTTAAAGAAAATTTAAAAAAACACAGACAAAGCCTTTTCAATTTTGGTCTTTTCAAGGTTGCTATCTATGTATCAGTCAGCCTTGGTAAGGAATTTATATGATTAGTAACTTCAAAACCTGTCAAAAGAAAATAGTAGTTTACAACTTTGCAGGGCTCTCATGAACTTGACTTTATCCATTAAGCAATAGTTTCCAAGTGATTCCAAGCTTATATGAGCTTTAATTTTCATGCTTTTCTTTCATTGTCATTCAAGTCATTTTTCACCAGTTCTTGATTATGACACGCATGTCTAACACATATTTTTGTATAAATGCTTCTCATTCCCTTTTTCCTATACCCTTTTGTTTGATCCCTAGTACTTGCTGCGTCAGGGTAAACCAGCAGTGCAGGCCCTTCATGAAGTGGAGGTGCTGACCACAGATTATGTGGGAGAGGACCCCCTGCTGGCAAGTGCAAATCTGGGCCGACCGTCTGCAATCAGCCCAATGACGGTGCACACCATCACCAAAGGCCGGCTGCACATACGCACAGGCAATATTGGCAAGTACTGCAAGAAACTGTTTATTTTGGTCACTGAATAAGGTCATGAACATGGACATGGACATAACAACCTTTTTTCAGAGCTTAGATTTTCATCTCACCGTCATCACCAATTAATGACACACGCTCAGTGTGGATTATGGAATTGATATTCATTTGTCACACATATTGATCTCAAGGGCATGAAGAGCTGCTGTGCACAACTTCACCGAGTTCTTCTGCATGCACAATTAGTGATCTGTATTCCCTGATTAAGCCAATTGTACATGTCTTAATTGTTAATGGATTTATGTAAAAGCCTTTTGAGAAGCTCTACCTTGATGCAGTTCTAGTAACTGATGAATGAGCACAAGGTGCTGTATTATGTAGAGTGAAATATGAGGTGTGTTGTATTGCAGTTAGTGCACATTCCTACAGTGAAACCTGGCAATCAAAAAGACTAAATCTAGTTCTGTGCCCCCAGGGATTAAACACAGTTGAGTGCAAAAGCTTGGGATAAGTGCTGTGGGGAATGGCTAAGTTATTGCATCACTAAAGCCTGGGGATAAACGTAAGGTAACCCAGGAAAAGAAGAACTTGTATTTGTTTAGCTGTCAGAAGAAAATCCAGTTTTCAGTATCACCCAACTCTCATCTACTCTTGAAACATCTACAAGAGTGTTTTTTTTTTATTCAGGTCATATTCCATTGTGAGCCTCAGATTATAAAAGGGATTGTTGTCTGTTTACCTTTATTGATGTAGAGAGTTTGGGAAACGACAGCGAATCCCCTGAGTTCCTCTTGCTGTTGAAAGTTCCCCTTTTTCTCGAGGTGTGCAGGCATGCAAAGCAAACGCTGTGCCAAAATGAAATATCTTGATGTGATAGTTCCACTCCGTCTAGCAACTGAGCACCTTTCCTCTTCCTCAGCACTCATCCAATTTGGGCCCCAGCGTGCCCCCGCAGCGGGATGGCAGCTGACGATAGCTTCCTTGCCATTTATCAACTGTTGAAACGATCCTTCCTCTCATAAACGATACATCATTCGGCAGGCCTGAGGAACTCGGTTGCCATTGTTGGGGCTAAATATGCCAGCACTTATCACTCAAAGCAGGTTGAGGGCATACTGGGTTATTGGGTGTGCTTAGGACGGGAGGAGGAGGGTTGTGTCTGGCATGTAAATTCCAATCAAGGCTCAGATATCCATCAGGCGCCCTGGCAGACAGTCAGAATCAATTTGTGGAGGGAGAACTTGCAAGCACTTTTCTTTGTTTCAGCTTCCATCTGTCGCTGCCTTCCTCACTTCACTGTTTATCACTGTCTTCCTGTTTTATCCTTTTCATCTATTTACCTCTTACCCTTCTATCTCATTCTCTCTCTCTCTCTCTCTCTCTCTCTCTCTCTCTCTCTCTCTCTCTCTCTATAGCTATCTGAATGTTTGTTTTCTTCCTGCATCCTCTGTGTTTCTCTTTCCTTTTCTGCATCTTTCATTAAGCTGTAATAAATCAGCTCTTTAATTTGGTGGGTGGTAAAAGGATGTGAAGCTGGGTCATTATTGCCTCAGGAGAAATACACCCACAGCACCACAGATGGATATTCTGTAAGAAGACTTGACAGAAATTTGAGTACAACGAGACATACAGAGTGAAACGCGTACAAACCCATGCATTCATGTGTGCTTTTCAAATTGACACACATGCCAAAAAAAGGCAAAATGTGCTCAGGCAGACAAACGGACAGATAGGTGTAGCAGAGCGTGGACAGGTTGTGTGATGAGGCAGGCTGGCAGATTTGAGAGGTGGACAGGTAGAGTATATAAAATCATGCTAGGAGTCTGTGACTCACATTTTTTTGTGATTTTCAAATTCAATAGAAGGATTACACAGATTTTTCTATGGATTGGAAAAATTCTATACTCCTAAATCCCCAGTGGATGGACACAAAGATGCACGGCGTCCGAGTTGAAAGGCAGGCTTGTATTTCTGCGTTGACACCGTGCAAGATACAGCTCCCGGATTTTAAGCTTGAGAGGTGACGGGAGGTTTCTTGGGGGAAAAAAAGGGGTCCATGACTAAGACAGTAAGGGAGAAGAAGAATGTTGGCAGTCTGACAAGATTAGGTGAAGAAGCAAAGCAGTGTCTTGCTTATTTAATTAATGTGCTCGTTGAATTTAGCAAAGCATTGTTGTATAAAAATACTCTTTAATGAGGGACATTAATCCTAATTCACCAGGGCCTTTAATTTCCTCATCCCTCATTCCAAATAGCTCCTTTATTTATTTGCTTTCGATGCTGCTTGACCTGTCTACAATATCAAGACTGCCTGCATGTTCACCTGTTGTTTTAATCATTCATTTATATTTACAGAACATTAAATCCATCACAACAACATTACTGTCGGTAAATACCCAGAACTCTATCCATGCATGTGTTCAGCCACGATCACAACAATATGACATTTAATAAAATGTATAAGGAACACCATGCTGTATAGGTTATGCAATCATGTAGATGTGTCACCCCCTCAGTGCCATTATATTTCACATGCAGTGTAGCCCTGACAACAAACTGCTCTGTTCTCTATTTCTTTTTCTTCACGTACACTCAGGCGTGCTTTTCATTATGTATACACTTTCCCCCATTAGGGTTTCATCAGAATAATGCAAAAAAAATGTGGCAGACTGTCTTTGCAGAAGGGGAGTGAAGCACAGAATTATTTCCTCTTTAATCACCTCAAGGTGGGATTGACAAGTAATTCAATAAATGGCAGGGCTATATAAGCTGTCAGGCCTTTTTTTAATCAATCTGTAAAGCAGCTTTTATTAATTTTATCGTAAAGGACCAAAGAAAGAGGCTTAATCAGAATAATTGAGAGTTGTAAATGCGTGGCTGGAACACGAGGGGGGGGTTTTGATTTGCTGCTTTTTGGTCTTGAGGAAAAAAATAAAACAGCACACCCACACAGAAAACCTGTAGGAGCAGATGAGGAGAGTATAAAACCATGACGACCGCCTGCTCTTCCAATGAAAACTGTTCAAGTGGCGAATCCGGAGGAAATCTACAATGCCTTATTGATTTCATCTGCTAAATCCATATGAACACTGAGTAGTAAGTGAAGATACAGAAGGGAGAAGAGACATTCAAGCGAGATGTTTGACCTACTAAAAACTAAACAGAAGTTCAACATTTGGAAGCCGGTCCTGTCCTTCTCCCAGTGTGTGTCCTGACAATTCTGATACAGATCTACAGAAATGGTTCAGAGAGTGGAGGCTGCAGTTTCCTCCTTTTATCTCTTTTTTGTTGGACCAACACAGCACCCTGTGATTCTGCAGCTGACGGTCTTTAAAAGTGTATGTGGCTTCACTTACTCTCGGGTATGCTTGAGTTAATTCATTGGCCAACAAAGAAACAAAAGGAAGAAAAGAAAATACTTTAAGAAATGCTAGGCTAATTTGTTCAACAATCTTAAAACCAATAATAAAATTTGCTTTCTATAAAAGTGCTATCTATAAGAGTTCTTAAAAGAGTTAACTTCTAAACAGTAGAAGTAAGCTACCTGTGAGTCTGCTTTCCCTCTCTGTAGGGCAATGTAATAAATAATAATAAATAAAAGACCAAGGGCTCAACTTTTTATCAGACATTATTCTCCATTAGAAGTACCTATATTATGAGTGTTGAGAAACAGCAGTGAGAAAATTGTCTTCTTGCATCATGACAACAGTTTATTTATCTGCGTTGTTCCTCTTCATCTTCCGGTTTCCCCCTTTTTGGAATGACGATTACAGACTACCGCTACCTGCTTGCATGGAGAGTTATTGCCTCTCATGCATGTGCAGAACGTACGTGGTGGTTGGCAGTAGGCTGTTGTCTTTGCGGTGTTCTAGTGCAACTTTTTGGCCAAGACAAAAGGCATTGTGAGCCGGCGCCACAGGCGGGCTTCATCGCCACTAGATCTTTGCAGTCTGCTTGGTGTGTCAGGGCCTTAACAGACAACATATTACATCTGTGCTATAAGGCAGTTGTAAAATTCACACGCAGTATGGACATGGAGCAACATCACATTCATACTGAATAGTGTTGTTTGGGCACATAACATTTTCACCCTCTGTAAAGCTCAGTTATTTGTTCTCCAAAAGCTCCTTCAGAAAGGTCTGGCTCTGTAGCAGCTATAGCTCTCCATTATGCTGCAAACATTGTTCACAGGGACGGATCCCTTCTACAATCCAGAAAACCCAAACAAGGCTCTAAAAAAACAGAACAAAGCTGAGAGACACTGCAGAGTCGGGGTCCCATATACCCAGACCAAGCATGGAATGTGTAGAGAAAAAGTCGCTTGGGGGTTAATTCATGTACATTTTTATAGAATAGTTGTTTTTATCTGGATGGGTGGCCTTGTTTCTTTTATTTATATAGTTGTGTGTTTTTGCTGCAATGTGAGATTTGACAATGTGTCCTATTCCTTCTTTATCATATGGTTTCAAGTCCTCGTTCTCACAGACACACAGCACATTTCCTGTAAATTAAGTCCAAAAGGGTTAAGGTGTTAAGCCTTGTAGGGATTTGGATTGGACCATAAAAAGGAATGCCAACATTTTAAACAGTGAGCTTTTAGTTTCCTATCTCAAACTTTTTTTTTCTTTATGTTTGCCAACTGATAAAAAGGCCCATATGTGTCAGAAGGGAAATGCCTGTTTGATATAAATAGTTTTGCTGACTGAGCTGTGTCTGTATCTCTTTTTCCCTCTCTCACTTTCTCATACCGTCTCTTTTCCTCCGTTCACACACATGCACACTCTCTCGCTCACAAACAGAACGCATGTATCTGCTTCAGCTCAGAGAAGACAGATTAGAATGTTCTCCAAACCACAAACCCAAACTCCTCATCTGCAGCAGCCTGATAAGCCCTGGGGAAACCGACTGCTGTACAGTAAAGAGAATCCTGTCGCAAGTGGAACAAAATATCAGTGAAATTTACCTAACAATCAGTTTAGCTAGGTGACCTCATCAAGGGATGCACATACAGTATGTCCCACTCATTAAAAACCGTCTTGCTGTTGGCGCATCAAGGCTCGACTTTATCAACCTTGCTTTTAGCCCTGAGGTGAGTGTGAATCTGCTTATTCTGAAAGGTCAGTGGCCTGGAACGGGGAGTCAGAAGAAATCGAATATTGCAGACTGCTTTGAAACCCCCCTGGTGCTTGCTCCCATTTGTTCTTGGGGCCAGTAAATCAGTGGTTTGTTGTGGCCTTAACCTCAAGAACTGCCAGCAGAGCAAAGAAGGCGGGCAGGTGGGGGTACTGCCGAGCAGTGTTATTGTCATGCAACAGAGAGAGGCAGTCAATAAATTTGATAGAGTTCAGCCCCCTGGCACTTTGTCCACAATTACTCTTCTCCACACGGACAACACCAAGCAGCAGAGGCTGCGCTCGGCTCTCTCTCTGCAACACAAACCGGGAGTATCAGCTTTCATTTCAGTGATGAGGATCATCAGCTCCGTCTTAACAACATGCCAGTGTGATTCAGCAGTTAGGGACGGATAATGTTACAGAGAGCAAGACATCCACGTCAACCTGGATTAGCAATACTGTAGGTTTTATCTGATGACACTAATGATGGCCCTAGTGATAGCTGATTAATTAAAATGATGGAATGATTAAATCACAGGGTCACAATCGAGTTCATCATCATCATTCCATTTGTTTTATTGTGGGCTTGCAGCCCTGGGTGTTCAGCTTATCTTGTCTCACAGCCTTATTGTATAAGTGTATATTCATCATGAGAGCATTTCTCTGCACAAAAGAAATCTGTCTGAAAGGGCCATAATGAGACTCTGGCATTGAGATCTCTATGGCTCTCTTATTGATTGGAGATGTTTATGCAACAGTAGAAGTATTGTCTTTACGGTAATAATTTGGAAATATTACTCAAACAAATACATACGCCTGAGCAGTGCGGCCAGGGAAGGGTGATGGATGATGCGGTGAATGAGTTGGGACGGCAGACACCTCACCCATTAATCTGCAAAACTGCGCTGTCTGTGTCTGTTTGCATGGCAACATCAGCCCCACATTACTCATTTAGCTGCCACCCATTATCAGTTTGTTTATGAGAGACTTCGGCTCTAAAAGATTTGGAGGGTGCTTTAGCCTCCCCTTCTCAAACTCTTACGAGCTCACTGAGGTGTCAGCTCTGGGCGCTAAAGCCACTAAATTGCTGCTCTCGCCATTTTTCAAATAAAAGCATCCCAAGTGAGGTATCCCAGAGCCTCTCAGAAATCTCTCAAATTTCAAACACTTACAATTTAGCTGACACAAAGATTCACTGTATGGAGCAAACGCAGACTCAAAGGGAGAGTTATAAATCAGTCCTTTAATCCAGGCAGAGTTCGGTACACGGTAAGGCAATGATAAACAAATCCAGAGGGCTTGGCAAGGCAAGGTCAAAACAGCAGCGATGGTCATACACAAAGACCAAGAACTATAATAATGCTGGAACGAGGGAACTCAGAGAACGCAACGAACTGGCAACAGGAGGGAGAACACACAGGGATTACATACACAGACAATCAGGGACAAACGAGACACAGGTGAGGGTAATCAGGGCGGAGCTGACACACAGGGCGGGGACAAGAGGGGCAGGATCTGAAAGAAAGAGACAAGGGTGAAAACCAAAACACAACAAAACCCAGGAAAATAATATTAAAATTTGCAAAACACAAAACAAAACCTAATGCAGACTGAAACCCTTGTCATTAACACTTTAGTCAGGGATGTTGTTATGTTCCAAAGCTTAGTAACCAGAAGGAGTAATGGAAAAGCATTGTGTCAAAGTGCACCATCATTTAAAGAGCTGTAAACTTTCATTTTTAATTCTTCAGTCAACCGTTTTAAATTGTAATGAGCGTGTTGGCCTCAATCTGACTGTAAACTAAAGAACAAAACAATCCTTTCGCCCTGTGGTATATGCAAGTGCCTCTGTAAAAAAGTATGCGTGGCTGCAGGCTGCGGTTGTGGCTGTGACTCTGTGAGCAATTATCCATCACACTTTCATTACCAGGCATTCTGTGTATGAAGCATTGTTCAAAAGCATAAGCAAGTCTCTCCCAGAGCTACTATCCGTAGGGGCTCAGCGCAGGGAGAATTAATGTTCGAAGAAAACCTAATATCGACCATCATTCACTGTCTGTGTACAAGCACACCCTGGAGTGTTTACTTATCCACTTGCCTTTAAAAAGAGAGGGAAAATGATGATTTTGCCATTTAGGAACAGACTGGGAGACAAATAAAGCTGTAAACAGAAGGCAGTCTGGTTGTGGAGCAGCAGGCTCTGCAGAATAACCCCAAACTGTCAGCTCAGCCTTCTAAACAATGACATAAACCCTCTGTAATGACATGACTTATAGTGCGCAAAACAATCCCACTGTCCAAAGCCCCGTAATGATGTGGTCAGTCACCATCTCCGATTATATTGGTGGCTGGTTGCAGTAGATATTTATTCATCTATATGTTTAATTGTCTCTCGTTGCATCTCTGACGCCAAACACTGGGAGAGGCCAACACTCACCATCAATCAGCATGGCACTCATCGCGTGGCAAGCTTTCTGTGTCCAGACCTCTCTGGCCATTTCAGGCTACTCATTAACCGCTGCAGGCTCGTATTCATGTATTGATCCTGTCTCAAGTTTTTTAATCCAGGGTTTAACCTGGACTGTGTCCACTTTGGCGCTGTCTACAAAGAAAATGTATCGTTTCTCATGTGACTTCAAAGGGATCTTTTGCCTGAAACACACACACATATATATATATATATATATATATATATATATGTGGCTTTGGATCTGTTTTTGGCATTAAAGTTCAAAGAGTGGCAAACACCTGAGTCACAAGCCTCTGCTGGTTACACAAGTATGGTCTACATAACCTGGATTGAATAAGAACGTACAGATAACTAAGAAAAAGTCCTGATCCTGAGATAAAGTAATGTGTGACCAAGGAGTAAACAAGTGGCATTTCTTTGTGGGAGTGTTGTCACTGGCTTGTTTGTTTTGAAACTATTCCTAAATTTACATTAAATGCACTTAAGTTTCAGTCGGATCAGGTGTCTCTCTCTTAAAGTGGCACATACAGCAAAATCTATGTCTTTATTGGTAAAAGGACAATAAAGACATGTAATGTACATTAATCAACATCCAACATATGTAAATACACCTGAGCTGACTGGCTCGTTTTTATCAACATATGCTTTACCTGATGTTTGCTCTTCTTGAATAGTTAACATACATAGCATTCTATAATACCTTTAAAACAGTATAGAGTCAAGTTTGATGATGATCCATTAAAGTCTAAAGTAATGATGAAACATGGTCATTTGAGAGATTGAAAATGATTGAATCAGTGCAGACTTTGCTGGTTCTCAATGAGCTAGTTCTAACCATAGTGATGGTGGGTATTTTTTGGGCGGCTTTAATCCCACCAATGAAACCTTGTAGTTCCAGAACAACATTCAGATTGAATGGATATGAATGACTTAAAAGTATACTCTATGAGATGCTTCACAATTTCACAATATCAGACCCTATAGTTGAAAAAATAAAAACTGTATTTCTCTTCTACAGGGTGCCCAGTGGATCCCAGTAAGAGGAGGCCAGCAGACATCATGCCAACCACTTCTCACATCATCACACCTTGTGAAGTCACAGGTGGTTTCAGAGGAGGGAGCCTGTCTTCCAGAAACATCCTCCAACTCAACGGTAAGCTCTTAAATCCACAGCCCACTGAGTCATGTCTGTGTTTGTATACTCACATATCATTTAATTTTACTTTCCATAACCGGGTGCTTCATGATTTTACACAGGACATTTTTTTAGCACGTGTCCAAACACATGTATGTTCTAGATCATGGAATAATTAGTGTCTTTCCTTTGGATGGGGACTTGTGCTCCTGACTTAATCAACCCAGCCAGATCCATTTCACATCCTTCTGTTGGCTGCACCACTGAACCACTCAATTTTCAGCCTAATTGAGCTTGCAGAAGCATCACTGGTGGCGAGCCCAGTGCTGTTTGCATTTGTGTGTGTGTGTGTGTGTGTGTGTGTGTGTGTGTGTGTGTGTGTGTGTGTGTGTGTGTGTGTGTGTGTGTGTGTGTGTGTGTGTGTGTGTGTGTGTGTGTGTGTGTGTGTGTGTGTGTGTAAGCGTGCGTTCGTGCATGCATGCACAGTCCAAGCAGAGGAACAACACACTGGGGGAAACCATTTTTTTCCTCAATTAGAGAAGCCATCACCAGTCGACTTGTGTTTACTCCTGAATTTGTCCTTAAAACATAGACCGCAACTCACACACACACACACACACACACACACACAAACACACAGTAAGAATAAGCATCACATTGGAGAGACAGTTTGAAAATAAGCAGATAATTGCTTGTAATGATAAAAAATCTGGCAGGTCTAGAAGTATAGTGCACTCTTATTAGAAACGACCTTAGCGATGCTGTGTAATTATATTCCACAAACATTTGCTCATAGCACACTGATACAATAGTATGCATACAGATCATCAACAAACAAACGTGTACTTAAATGATTGCATGCATATGTTCAATTTAAATGGTTTCTCTAAACTGTTGTAATCATTTATTCAGTGCTCTAATTACAGTTCAAACTAAACGCTGTTTGCTTTTGTTCCTTACCTATCACACCTCCTCCTCCTCCTCCCCACCGCCTTCCCCTCTCTATTTCTGTTGTCCGTCTTACATACTGAAACCATCCCTCTCTCCTCTCAAACACCCCGTATCATTTAAACGTACAATATACTTAATTACTTTCACTTGAGTCTAGTCCCAACAGTTAGCCCGTTGAGAGTGCGTTGTGTGTGTGTATATGTGCTCACTCAGTCACACTCCTGTGTGTCTGTAAGTCTGAACTAAGTGGTGTAGCTAGACACTATCTGGTCAGGTGATTGACAGTCGCCCCAATGCCTCTCTGATAAGGTGACTTAGGAAAAATTGTCCAGGGATTAAGAGGGGCACTAGGGAGGGAAACAAAGAGCGAAAGGAACATAGAGGGACGTATGTGTGAGTGGGAAAAAAAACTATTACGTATCACATTACTGTAAAGAAAGGGACAGAAATATCTAACTTAGTGAGTTTGTTCCCTCCACAGTTATTACTCATGCATTTTATTTGTTCAATAACATAGATATTGAAAAGTACTGGGTTGTTGCTTCTGGTTAGTTGGAATTGGTTATTTTTGCTTTTATTGATTTCATTATGTTGGCCGAGAATGCTCAACTCCCTGAAGCCAAAGAAAACAAATGCAAATTGACAAAGCACAAGCAAACAGACCCCCTACTGCGAGCACACATACAATTAAAAAAAAAACACTGGAAAGAGAAAAACACAAATTTATTATCAACTCATTCTCTATTTCAGAGTTTCCCAAACTCTCCAGCCCGACCCTAAAATAAAGGTGCCAGAGACTGGAGAGTGCTACTCTCCCTGGAGATGGTTTAAGGGTATAACTTTGCACAAAGCCACATACATACACTAATAAACCTGGCAACACAAAAGAACAACAAATAAGAACACAACAGCCTAAAAAACATAATGACATGTTTTACAGTAATTTGTTGTAAGAAATGTTAGAAGCAGGATACAAGGATAGACTCCAGCACCGAGTGGAGATATCAAACTTTACTGAAGAGACACACTTGTTTGTGTCTTTGTGTGTAATGAGCAGCAGCCACCTACATTGTTGCTGTTTTTGCACACAGTTTATTTTTACATTAATGGGAATAATATGCTATTGCTATCTTTTTTTTTAAGGCATTTCGGTCCCAACCCCCACTTTGGGAAACACAGTTCATCTTGACAACACATAGGCAATAAGAAGAACCAAATGCAAACACATGGGGAATTCATATATGGTTTAGCTGAAAGCTAATATCACCAGTATTTTTTGCACCCCACTTTTATCTTAATCATGCTCCTGGTGATGTTTCAAGATTTTAGTATGTTGTATGTTTCTTAATTTGCTTAATTTTCGAGTTCAGTTTCATTAGCTTCTCTGACATTTATTGAAAATTAATATGAGGGTTGCTTTGTATCAATAAATGTTTCAGAACCTAATCCATACTTTTTTCAGTACTTTTCTTGTTGATGTTGACGGTCTAAAGCCTGTTCGAATCCTGTAGCAGAAAATGATTTGGTGCGTGACTGACTACATTTTCTCCTTTCATTGTGCCCCTGAACACCCAGAACACACACAGGACTGATGATGACTGATTTTACTTAAATTTCACTGAAACATTCCCACAAACCCAGAAACGATCAGCACCTTTACAAATATAGAGAGATGCAATTAATTTCTCCACGAGGCACAAATTATTATTATTATTATTATCATTAATTATCTAAAACCTCCAGATACGACGACATGATAGGATAGGATATTTGTTGACTAATGTTCTGTGAGTTGAACATCAAAGAAAGGTGGGCTGTAAACATGTATTTACTTGTTAACTCCGCTAGAATCATTGACTATATTCTCTAATGTGTGTGTAGACAGAACGTGCATTGGACCCCATGATGGAGAGATGTATTTTGGCCGTATCTGACTCAGGCAGGATTCTCAATGAGGGATCGAAGAGTGTTTCCTCATATTCTGACATCACCAGATGGGCCTCATGTTGAAAGGAATTTAAAGATGACAGTAGACAGGGAACGAGAAGTATGCGGTCTCCAAGCCCTCTGTACCATTATAAACTCAATTTTAATGTATCACCAAATGCAAACAAATATTTAACTCAGCCATGGGAGAGTTGCTGTGTTTTACTGTGTGTCTAACTGGAAAAGTGGAAGTCCATATAATGAACTCATTTATGTATGCCTATCTTTCCAATAGGCCCTCTAAATAGCAGTAACATACTGCGCTACAGAGTTTAGACTTCAGACCAGATCTCAGGTGGTTTATGGTGAGGTCATTTTCAGGCTCAAGCTCATTTGCTATTTAAAAAACTGTGGGGCTGGGCGTAAAAATGGTTGGACAATTGGAAAGACACCTGCACTGGCCACCAAGGTGCTTTGAGCCAGACGTATGATAGGGCCTGAACAGTTTCAAGTTTGACAAGACATCAAATGTCTGCATTTAATACTCTAAATTGTTTTCAAATTCTGCTACATACACTTTCCAGTCAGTTCTAGACAAGTTTCAAGCTTTCATATGCAGCCATTGATATTGGTGGATAAAAAGGACAATGGCATTAATACTTTAAAATTGTATCTTTGTCCGGCTAAGCTTGGTAACTTTCCTAAGGAGCTTAAAATGAAGCTAAAATACTTAAGCCTCATGTCCCCTTTTCTGTCATCCTGTTTCTTTATCTAATCGTCTTTGTGTTCATCAAATCAAATTATAAAGCGATGTACCACTCACTTAATATATGTACACCTCATTTCACTAAGATTTGTGTCCGCTTTTAGTCAGTCAATAATATACTCTATCATCTCTCAAATTAAAGCTCTTTAAAATGACAATCCTATAACGTGAGCAGCTCCGAATTTCAGGTTAGTTTAAGTGAGTGTTGTTTAAAGTACAGGATTAGGCAAATTCTCCCATCAAAACTTTTTAGATGTCTTGGGAAATTTACATGATCCTATATGGAAAGCCATTTCTTTCAAATCCCACACAAACTGCAAGTCACCTTTTTAGATTCAGTTACCAGACACCAACTTTTCAATAACCAAACACATACTTCCTGAACTACACACCAACTTTTCAAATTGCACTGAAATGGTTTTGGTTTTTGGGTTATGTAGTATGTTGTCACTCTTCATATTACATTCCAGTACAGGAGAAAGTCATTTTATTGTATGGTCATCAAGGACAGGACATTTAACAAGGACATCAAGGTTCGCCAATTTATTCCCAATCTTAATTGAAAAACAAAAATCCTTGAAAATAAGTGAAAAGGCCTTTTAATGACTGAATGACCCAAACAACAAACTTTTCTAAACCTAGTTAGATAGTGTGCTTTCACACCGCTGTGGCTCAGTGGTAGAGTCTCTCAACAAGAAGGTTGGGGGGTTCAATTGCCTGCTCCTGCAGCCACATGTCCGATGTGTCCTCGGGCAAGAAACGTGACCCCAAGTTGCTCCTACTGCTTCGTCAGCAGTGTATAAATGTGTATGAATTGGATTAGCTAATACCGATGGCCACTTTACAGTACAAAGCAACCTTTACTACCAGTGTGTGAATGGGTGTGAAATGGTAGGAGTGACCTGCGGTGTTAAAGCGGTTGAGTTGTCAGAAGACTAGAAAAACACTATACAAGCTTAAGTCCATTTACCATTAGCCATTTCAACATGGTGGCACATTATATACAATTGCGACAGTCTGCATTACTCAACTGGGTGCCAGTGCAATTTGACTGTATTTCCAATGTGTGTTGATAGGTAGAGTAGTAAGCAGTTTGGGTGGTGGATGTCCTCTAAGTGGAGAGGTGATGTGCAGCTTTTGTGTGGACTAAAATAAAATGGCCCTCCATATCATATACACTCCAAATGAGGATGCATTTTATTTGTGACAAATGGATGAATCAGGTATTATAATTGGATACTTAGTTCATGCCGAGGATGGAGGTGAAACATAATTAGGGACAGAGCGTCTGTGTCTAACAGTAGGGCTTTGGCTCAGTTGTAGTAGTGCCAGTGGTTTGACTGGACTGTTGTCTGTGTACAAGCTGTTGTTTCCCGTGCTCCAACAATACTTTAATCTGTCAGCGCCTCTCTCCCTTGGACATTTGGAGGGTTTTCAGAACATATGGTCAAAATGGCAAAGAGATTAGATTCCACTCTGTTCAGTAAATATATTCATTATTGTGGCTTGTTTTTCCATCACAGCGAGGAACGCTGCGCAAGCACACAGACTGGAGATGGATGGGGATCTCGTGCCATTGTACAAACGTGGGATCAGAGCCGACATCATAATGCCTGGAGAGCATGACAGTGGGACGCGCAAGCTCAACTGCATGGCTGCTGTGCATCAGCGGGAGGGCAAGAAAGATGCTCAAGCAGCTAAGGTCATGGTGAGGTCAAACTTTGCACATTGCCATTAGGGAGACAAAAATAGAAGCTTATCTGTAAAGCAGGGAGACAATAGTCTGTCTCTGTGTGTCTTTTTTTTTTTTCTTACATCTCAAACGGACAACAAAGCCAGAGCAGCGGCTTTCATTCTGGCTCGAAAAACATTACATGAGGGAGTTTTTATAGATGCGTGGAGCCTCTCTGAGACAGTGCTGCGCTTGTAGCAATGTGCCCTTCAACCCTCTGTGTTTTAGTGACTGTACGAGAAGGTGTTAATTGTTCTTCTACCTGAAGGCACATCTTGTACTTTCACCCATGGGTGCACATGTTAAATGTGATTTGTCTGTGGAGCATGTCTGTCTCAGCTTTTTACACCTTACAATTCCTCTTGTGAAGAACTGTGTTCTGTGCTGTTTCACACCGCTATAATAGGCAAGTATGGGTGAAGTAACTTCACCTTACCTCAAACAGGAAGAACGTTTTTATGAAGCTAATTTAATATTTATTACACATCTAGTTTTGCCTATCTGATTTTGATACTCAATTTGAGAAGTTTTATTCTTTTCTAAGTCAAGTCTACGTTTTGACGAGAATCCCAGGCTGTAGTTTTTGTGCCCTGTACAGTACCAAAATGATGCTACCTTATGCAAACAGATACAAATATATTTGCACTATATTATAATTTTATTTCTGGAATAGAGATGATATGATTGGGGGTCCTTTTAGTTTACAGAAAAATGTATAATGGCAGAGGAAGTTTGAGGAGAAATGTTTATAATATTGATTATTTTCCAAATAACCAAAGCTAGTGTTGAAATGGTGATGTGATTGTGGATGTATGGTTAAAGATCACTTTTATCCTCCTTTTCAACAAGTTTAGATAAGTTTCAGAGGTCCCCAAAACATGTCTGTGAAGTTTCTCGCCATATATCCACTCCAAATCTGTATTTGATCATGCCTATAAACCCCTCTCTTTCAGCTCTGCTCAGAACAGACTGTTTCTGTGTCTGTACCTTTAAATGCAAGTGAGTTGTGTTCAACCACTCTCCTTTGGAAGAGCTTGGTTTGCTTGGACTTTTTTCACAATGCCCAGTTGTTTACAGTGATAAGTCAGACTCAGAGGGCAGAACAAACACCTAGCTGTGAGAGTATCACCAACCTGGGGGAGGGGTTACTGCCCTTTGTGATGTCATGAAGGAAAAACCTGTATGAGCACACATTTTCTGAAAAGTGGAGGAGGCAAACTATGGAGAGGGTGGACTTTTCTCATAATTGGGGGTTTTGTAGACAGACTAGGGACACATATTAGTCTTAGAAAAACATGGTAAAGTGTATTTTGCATAATATGTGGCCTTTAAATGAAGTGAAAGTTGTTAGAACTATTTCTCTCTTTCTTTTGTAACCTCCTGCTAGGCCATGTTCTCTTTTTTCAAATTTCTCTCTGTGTTGTCCCTGATCTCTTTCATAATCAAAATGAAAACATTTTCTCTGTATTGACAATTTTGAGGTTAGATGTCTTTCTGACAGAAATGCTTTCTATACTTCTACTCAGAAGATCATACCCATTCAACCTTTAGCTACAAGGGCAGGTGTTTGGACTAAAAGACCTGCCATTCTCTTCATCCCCCCTTTCAGAATGAAAATACTTTGTAATTACTGCAGATGTTTGATGCCTTCTTCTTGATGCCTGCAAGGCCATTGCTTTGTAATCCGATATTTTTTCAACTGTCTTCAAAGTGAAAAGAATTGACAAAAATTAGTTAAGTATTACAAGTCAGTTTAACATCAAAATACATCTAAAGCTTTTTGTCAAGGTACATTTTTTTACACAGTTTTCTTCAATTTGTTTTGCAAATTCAGTTTATGTTCACATAAATTTGACCTCTTAGTAAAGAATGTCGTGATGGATATATTTGGAATGAAGAATTAGTTGGTTGTGTTGTTGTTTGACTTGAAACATTATTTTTAAAGTATAATATAAAGTTGGGCTTTATTGGATCATAGGTGTTATTTTCTTTGTTTTGACCATCATTTCTATCACACATAATGATATAGTTCTCACCAAAGTTAGAGCTCAGATTTGGTAACAATGCAACATAACTACATAGATGAAAAAATAGAGTGTGCATACCAGAAAAGGTTGTAATCGACAAATGTTACATAATTGTTTAAAAAAAGTTTTTTTTAATGTTTTCTGGTGAAACACTAGAGTGTCTCTGATATATATATATATATATATATGTACCTTTGTTCTTGGTTGTTCTGTTCTAGGATCAGAAAAAGCAATCCCTATTGACCAGAGAACTTCATCAGATCAAACCCAGTGAAGATCACAGCAAGGCAGAGGGCATCACCAACATGCTGAGCCAGGCTATCACCACTCATCACCTGCTTTATGCAAGCCTGGGCTCTGCTGAGTACATGGAGTTTGTCCTTAAGAATCCCTTTAATGTACCTCAGACTGTCACCATCCACAGTGACGACCCTGAGCTCAGGTAAGACACTTTTTCATTTAACCTTGAGTTGACATTAGGCTGGAGTGAGGTCTGAACCTCAGTCTAAACTATGTGTTCAGTATGATTATTTGTCTAGGTTGCAAAGGGTAAATCTGTGAAAACTACTATGTGTTAGTCAGATGTATCATTTTAAAAATTGGACGGTTTATAGATGTGCCCCCCACCCCCCAATCTAACACACTAACTCAGCTCAGGGATTTCTGGACTCTGGTGTATTCCATTATCAGATTGGAGCAAACACCATGCCCCACCATGACATTGTGTTCACACATTCTGAATGTGTTTCCAAGAGTGATGGCATTCTGTGGAATGCATGCATATCTTTCTTTGGTGGGTTTCAGCGTCTGTGACTAGTCAGCCATACAGAGGCTGCACTCTGCTCTTCTATATACAGTAGCTATGAACTCAAAGGAAACAGATTCCCCTTTGAGAAGCAAAGTGTGATGTGATATTTACATAATGGTACATATTTTTAATATAAAGAAAATAATGCTGTGTAAAGTGTGTCTGCATGAGGACAAGGAAACGCTATTTAAAATGCTTGTTTTTTTATTTTTAAATTAGTTTTAATCTTAAGTAATACAGATCTTTGCACTTCCACACAGTCCCCATTTTGAGACATATTCAATTTTAGAATTTAGTTATTTCAAGTGATGGTTTACTTCCTCATCTTTTAAAGTTTTGACCATCCATTTACCTATCATGGGATGCTTTTAATGATCTATTGAAAAAAAAACAATTTAGTGTGGTGAAGATAAGCAGCAAACTGGATATGATCAAATTTATACGCAAAAAATAGCTTTAGCATTATCCGAGTCATATTTCTCCTTATGACAGTCGATTCAAAACCAATGTTTGCTTTACATTTCCTTTTTGTCGAATATTTTGACGGACAGAGTAAAACAAATCCACCATAATCTTTTAATCCTCGTCATTTAGTTTGTATTGTAGTTTGTATTAATAGCACTTAACTTTCATAAACAACTCTCACAATAATGGAATATATAACAGAGCAAACTCAAAAATGTAAGAGAATGTTTGTTTGTTTATTCTTGGCTGGGGGAAAGGGAAGCATATCATTTTAGGTCCCTAACTTCAGCATCACAGTCAGTGTTTACAGCCAGAATCCTGGCCTGCCACCAGTTCATGGAGTAAACACAAACCCTGCCAAAGTGGTTATTCATATTGTGGACTGATGGGAGGGATGTTGACAGATTTGTCAGATATAACACAAACTCATTGTGCAACTTTTGTGATGGGGTGACTTGTTCTCAATGACTAGAATGCTTTCATTCTGTTTGAGGTAAGTCTTTATTTCTAAAATGTAATGAATGTAATAGTTATAATTTGCATCAGGTCATTGCAACCCCAACATCTGAAAATAACTCAAAATATGCTCGCACAGAACTGCCTAGTATGATTGAAACACCCATTCCAGAAATTCCTTTTCTCCCATTTTGTCTTTAATAACCTGAGGATATACTTGTTTTTTATTACAGAAACACACCCTGCCTTTATGAAGCAGAAATGACTACATTCTTAAGTGTTTTATACTTCAGGGATACTCTTTAGTTCCTCTACGTTACCCTACTCTGATTCAGTGTATGACAGTGCTTAAGGACACATTTCCAACTCACTATCCTCTATACAGCCTTTTGTCTTTTTAATCACTTGTCCTGACCGTCTCTAAACCAAAGGAGAAAACGTTGTTTTTTTCTCTAAGAAGCCATATATGGGAAATTCCCTTTTTAATCTGATATAGCTATCAAACAGCTGTTTTGATGATTTTTTGCAATAGATCACTGCTTTAAAAGTTACCCAGGATGACCTTGATATCAGAACTTGATATCCAATTTGTGCCCTGGTCATGAAGTAACCTTCCCAACACACTACAGTGTAATGATTTTTTTCCTCCCTCAGAGTTCAACGCTCGAATAAAACACTTTGTTACAGATGAGGGAAGTTGACATTCTTAATCTTGATTATGAATAATTTGCCAGTTGTGTTTATTTGTTTTTAAACTTGCCACACTAGGTTTTTAACTACCACTTCTGTGTTGTTGACATGTTTCATTGTGAACCAAAGCCTGATAGGTTGGTTCTTCTGTTCAGAATTGGTTAACTCCAAATCGTGACAAACTAAAATTTTGTAATCTGACAAATAGTGGATAAAGAATTCACAATGATGTGTAACGGTGGAATGTGGTGCAAAATGACCCTAAAAGGACTGTTGCTTAGTTAGTAGAGTCGGTTGTCTCTCATCCGGAAGGTCGGGGTCCAACCACCGGGTTCATGCAGCCACATGTCCGATGTGTCCTTTGGGCAAGACACTTACACTGAAGTTGCTCCTGCTGCTTCATCAGCAGGCATGTGAATGTATTTGAATCGGAAAGTAACTTTTTATTGTTACTTTAAATAGCAACCACTACCATCAGTGTGTGAATGGGTAGGTGTGAAAGCGCTTTCCAATTACCATTAAGGATAACTGTGAAATTAGCAATTGTAGTCCTTTTAGTGTGCTTTGCTTTTATTAAAAAGAAGCATCAGTACTAATTTTAGGCAGTTCATAAACTGTTAAAACTCCTCACAGCAGGTTTAAGGAAAGCTGCTGTTTGAAGCTTGGGATAGCTACTTTTGTTCTCGTACTGCAGTGAAAATAAACCAGTAAACAACATGAGGACACAAACAGGATTTGAAAGTCTCAAAGTAGAGACGTTTCACAAAAGGAATGTTGATGCTGAAGTTAACCTTTTAGCACCTCTACTATAGTGATGCAACACAGCTTTACAAAAAGTGTCCATCATACAAAAAGTAAAACAGTTGGAAGTATGAAATTCCAACACAAAAAAAGTCAAGAAGCTTGTTTCTTATTGGATGTTTAATTCAGGTTGTCAGAGTCCTATTCACAGCCTGCCCTCTGTTTTAATAAGACACATGTGTTTGTGAAGTTATGCAACTACTTGTGCTTTTATATGTGTGCATGTTTCACAGCTTGAAATCGATTTGATGCACTGTTTTTACACGTGTTGTCTTGTTTCGATGTTTTGGGTGTAGTTTTGATTCAAAATAATATTTATATGTCCTGGGATGCCCTTAAAGGTCACATATTATGCAAAATACCCACTTAACCATGTTTGTCTAACACCAACATGTGTCTCTAGTCTGTCTACAAATCCCCCAATTATGAGAAAAGTCCATCCTCTCTGTCTTTTGCCTGCTCCAGAAAATGTGTGCCCAAACAGGCCAGTTGGACATTTTCCCTTTGTGACATCACAAAGGGAAGTAACCTCTCCCCCAGGTGGCTGACACTCCCACAGGTAGGTGTTTGTTCTGCCCTCTGGGTCTGTCTTTCAACGGTAAACAGAAGAGGCTGGTGCAAGAAGGCCCAAGCCACTGAAGCCCTTCCAGAGAGGTGTAGTCAAACACAGCTCATTTGCATTTAAAGCTACAGACACAGAAACAGCCTGTTCTGAGCGAGGCTGAAATAGAGGGATTCATAGGCACAATAAAAAACAGGATCGGAGTGGATTTTTAACAAGAGACTTCGCAGACATGTTTTGGGTACCTCTGAAACTTATTTAAACTTGATGAAAAGGAGGATAATGTGTGACCTTTAACATTTAGATTTAAAACACAGCTTCGAAAAAGGCAGTACTTTTATTTCAGAATAATCATGATAAATAATTTGATACAAATATTAGACACATTCCCACACAGTTTGCCTGTATGTATTAACATGAATACGTAGGTTGAATATTTTAATGACCTTTAACCACCTCCTTGCACTATGTTGCCATATTTCACTCACTGCTGTTCACACTTATACAAGGATTATAAACCAGGAAGATTCTAGCTCTTTCAGCAGCAAAATAATTGTCCTTGACACAAACATGCTCATGCTGGTGAGATGCTAAATACCCCCTTTAATCCACATACAGCAGCCTTTATGGCTTACATTTCCTGAGTCACCCCTTCTTGGTTACCTCGTTTGTGTTTGTTTCCTTAAGTTAGCGTTGTTGCTAATCCCCCCACATGGATCCTTAGTTATGGATTCTGCTCATGCCTTTGCTTTGGATTAGCATATATCATGTTGATCAACAAAGGCTGGAGTGCGCCATGGATGAATCATTATGGCATTAGCCCGGCCACCAAGCCTAGCAGATATAATTGAAAGTCATCAATCCCTGCATCTGTCCTTTCATCATCCCTGCATCCTGTTAGTTTATTTATTTAATTCCTGAAGAGGCAGCATGACACATCACATCAAAGCTTCTGTCAGCTCAACGGTGAGCCAAAGACACAAACATGTGCTAAAAGAATGGGATCATTATGACTTTTCTGCTCCCTTGGTTTTTAAAAATATTGATAATTTGAAAAAGTAGCATTTCCCGGGATTTAATTGTAACTAGAGGGATGTACTACACTCGATACTCCACTTGTTTTAAATGCTGGTCTGATGCTGCTCCTGTTTAGGCAATACAATTGAAGCCTGTTATGGAGAAATGTGCTTAATTGCCTGCACATGCTCGCTGTCCACACTGCATTCATTAAATATTTAATTCTTCGCTCTGTAAATTTCAGTTTCCCCTTGCAAACAGTATGACATCTTGTGCTTTTGTACTTAAAGTGGACTAACAGATGTGTGGCGCTTTTGACAAGCTGATGACTACAGGCTAAAATCAGACTGATTTTGTCGCTGATGCTCGCATCATGTGCTCTTAGGACAGGCTGTAAGATCGCTAAAGGGCTAACGAGAAGTGATTTTTTTTTTTGGTCTTAATTTATGGTTTGTTCTGTTTTAGTTCAAACTGTAAATCCTTTGAGGCCCTAATGCACAGTTGCACATAGACAAAAACACAGCCTTTCAAATATTTACATCTTCTGATAAAATATCAGAAAAAGCTGATCTGGTGGAGAATTCAAGAGAAATCCTCGGATAAGATTTCATAAGTATAGTCATCCATCATCCATACCGTACAT